TAAAGGGCGACACCCTGATACACGAAGATAAAATTGCGCTTACAGGCATAACCGGGCATAAAGTACACACCATAGGAAAAATGTACGCCACGATCAAGATAGAAAATCACAAGGTAAAACATGCATTTTACGTTGTAAGAGACGACATTCCAATAGAATATGAAGGAATAATAGGAATTGATTTCCTTCAACAACATTCGGTATCCTGTGATTATAATCAAAATCAATTAAAAATAGGAGAAGCCGTGCTAAGATTCCATACGTTTAACAAAACAATCCTAAAACCGCGCAGAGAAACCATCGTAAAAGCGATAACGAAGCAAAACTGGATAGGAATAGTACGAGCAGAGGAAACCGCTCCAGGAATCTACCTTGGAAACTGCTTAGTAGAACCGAAGGATTACACGTGTCCAGTTAGTATCATAAATACAACCGATACAGAAGTCGAGATACAGACGCCGAACGTCACACTCGCAGACATAGAACGCGAAATCGAATCCAAAATACACACAATACAAGAAAGAAAAAATTTTAAGCCTACTAGCTCGAGACAAATCTGACAACTACTACGCACGCAACATTTAAATACGGAAGAAAAACAGGCATTCCTACGGATATGCGAAGAATATTTTGATACATTTCAGTTGGACGGAGAACCACTGACGTGCACCGCGACGGTAGAGCACGAGATAAACACGCGCGCCGATACCTCACTGGTGAACACGAGACCGTATCGTCTTCCCTATAAGCACAAGACGGAAGTAAATAAACAAGTGCAAGAAATGCTGAAAAACGGCATAATCCGAACAAACGCGAGTCAATGGAACGCACCCTTATTAGTGGTACCGAAAAAGGCCGACGCATCCGGAAAACCTAAGCTCCGAGTAGTAGTAGACTTTCGGAAGCTAAACGATTTAACAATAGGCGATTCATTTCCACTGCCCAATATCACCGAGATACTGGACCAGTTAGGAAACGCTAAATATTTTACCACACTAGACTTAGCGTCAGGATATCATCAGATACCGATGGCTGAGCAAGATAAACAAAAGACAGCTTTTTCAACGCCCTACGGACACTACGAATTTAATAGAATGCCGTTTGGATTGAAAAATGCGCCAGCAACATTCCAGAGACTAATGAATTCAATTCTAACCGGAATGCAAGGACTTAAATGTCTAGTTTATTTAGACGACATCGTCATATATGGAGCGAGCCTAGAGGACCACAAAAAAAGACTCAAGGAAGTACTGCAGAGACTCCGAGAAAATAATCTAAAATTGCAACCAGATAAATGCGAATTTTTGCGCAAGGAAGTAATTTATCTAGGTCACATAATTTCGGAGAATGGAATATCTCCGGATCCGTCAAAGTTAACGGCAATAAAGGAATTTCCGACGCCGAAGAAAGTAAAAGATATACAATCTTTCATAGGACTAGCCGGATATTACAGAAAATTCATAGAAGATTTTTCAAAAATAGCCAAGCCACTGACGAAATTAACGAAGAAAACGGAAAAATTTGAGTGGACTATGGAACAGCAAAATGCTTTCGAAATACTAAAAGAAAGATTAATGACAGCGCCAGTGCTAATGTATCCAGATTTCAATCAAGAATTCATAGTGACCACTGATGCTTCCGACTATGCAATCGGAGCAGTATTGTCACAAGAAAAAGTAGATAACGACCGGCCAATTGCTTACGCCAAAACAGAGTTTTATCGCGGGCGGAGCAGAATTACAATACAACCGAGAAAGAATTACTAGAGATTGTATGGGCTGTAAAACATTTTAGGCCATATATATACGGTACGAAATTTAAAATCGTAACCGATCACAAACCATTAATCTGGTTATTTAATGTGAACGATCCCGGATCGAGATTGATCCGATGGAGATTAAAACTCGAAGAATATGATTATGAAATCATCTATAAAGCCGGACGAGCGAACGCGAACGCCAATGCACTGAGCCGCAATGTAACAAGAGAAGCGCATGAAACAGAAGAGGAAGAACGAGAGATCCTCGCAATAGAAGAAGAAACAAACTCCGACGAAGAGAAAATATACACGGAGGAAGACAAGAAACAGATATTATATGAATATCATGATGCACCCACAAGAGGACATCAAGGAGTTGACCGAACGGTAAAAAGAATCCGCCTAAATTACAATTGGCCAGGAATAACGAAAGATGTAGAAAAATACATTGCAAAATGCGAATTGTGCCAGAAAAATAAACTATCGCGAAAAAATAAAGTACCGTTAATAATCACGGATACGCCTACTAAACCTTTCGAAAAATGCGCGTTAGATATTGTAGGACCGCTAACAGTTACAACAAACGGAAATAAATATCTTTTAACATTCCAAGACAACTTAACGAAATTCAGCAAAGCGATACCGATTCCAAACCAAGAAGCGAACACGGTCAGTAAAGAATTCGTTACAAAGATTGTACTTGAACACGGAATACCGGAAAAAATTTTAACGGATCAAGGCACAAATTTCCTCAGCGAAATATTTAAAAATACATGTAAACTATTAAAAATAAATAAAATACAAACAACTGCCTATCATCCGGAAAGTAATGGCGCGTTAGAACGATCGCATCGAACATTAGCGGAATATTTAAGACACTACATAAACGAAGACCAGACCGACTGGGACGAATGGATACCGTTCGCAATGTTCACATACAATACGACGCCACACACAGCTACGGGGTATACACCCTTCGAATTAGTCTATGGGCACCAAGCAGATTTACCTACGTCACTGACGAGACCGCCTAAACCGACATATAATTACGACGATTACGCGCAAGAATTGAAAGAAAGACTAAGGGCAACGAATCAGCTCGCAAAAGAGCATATCAAAGAAGAAAAATTTAAAGCCAAAAATCAGTACGACAAAAGTACTAGCGAAATAAAATTTAAAGTCGGCGACAAGGTATTAGTACACGACGAGACGTTCCGACGCGGACGATCTAAGAAACTTGAATCCTTATGGACCGGACCGTACGTAATAATCGAAAAAAATTCGGACATGAATTATACAATTAAGAAAGGAAGAAAAGCGGTGCGTATGCATACAAACAAATTAAAGCAGTTTATAGAAAACTAAAATAAAAAACTTACCTATTCGTTGTTGGAACGACCGATTAACCGCATCCGATCCAAAGCGCGACGCATCTGCTCAATCGTACCCTCATCTCGCCCTTCGGAGTTACGGAAGATAGGACGGAGATGATTGAGAAAAACGCGCCCTCGAAGGCGAGACACTAAACGACAAAGTATGGCAAATAAATCAATATACATCCAACAAACTAACGAGATGTGCGAACAAATAAAGTCGGAATTCCATCATAAACGCACTTGCGATAATTTAAAGGAAATCGTAAAAAACGAGTTGAAACAATTAACGAAATTGATCACTCTAATAAATACGCTATATGAGACACGGACGAACAGACGTAGAGGTCTCATCGACGGAATAGGCGAAATAGCGAAAACATTGTTCGGTACAATGGACGCGAACGATAGAGAATTAATAAACGAACAGTTACGGCCTGCATAAATCAGCCTTTACTCTCTTACAGAATAATCAATAAACCTTTCAACATGTCGCGAAAAATCAAATAAAAATTTTAAACAGTACTATAATACATCTAGATAAACTAGAAAATATACTAGATCATAACGGTAAACTATTAAACCATTATGTTCGAGAATATAGTACACGCAAAGAAATAACCGAACATTTAACGGTAATCATCGCAATAATAGCAGATTTAATTCGAGATGCGGAAGATGTAATAGAATATCTTACGTATGTACGCAAGGGCACGATGCACCCCGTACTAACACCTATTAACGACATTATAACACATTTAAAAGAAGCAGCTATCCAATTACCTCACGGTTTATATTTCCCCTTCGAAATTCGAAACGACGAAAGGTTAGCACTAGAAGAATATATTAAAATAACTGCATACCGTGAAGGATTTCGAGAATGTGTTCATTTCAACAACCGAAATATCGATATTTGGAAAATTTGCTATTATCGATCGATGAAATTGGTTATTTTACATTCTCTAATAATAGACGTTATTCCACCGAGCGAGGCGCTTCCGAATTACGTTTTTATCTTTGACGACGTGGCATGCGATAAGCAAGATACGATAAGAGAGTACTTTGCAATGGGTCGACACTCGAGCGTCGACTGTTTCTATCTTTGTCAAACGTATGCCAAGATACCCAAGCATCTTATACGGGACAATGCAAATTTACTGATTTTATTTAAACAAGATGGTACAAACTTGAAACATGTATACAACAATCATGTAAATACTGACATGTCTTACGACAATTTTCGCGCATTCTGTCAGAAATGTTGGCAACACAAGTATGGATCTGTAGTGATTAATAAAGACAGTTTACAGACTAATGGACGATATCGAAAAGGATTTAACGATTTTGCAATACCGTAAAGTGGTTAGTCGCTACCGACACATCAATCGAGCAACGTCTAAAAATTTTCGTCCGAGCGCAACATAACGACGACGATTGACAGTGACGATCGTGAGAAGATTGCGAGAGAAATTGTAAAAACGTCTCCCACGCCTCCTCGCGGCATCGTACCTTCGCGTTCCCTCTTCCCCGCGGGTCCCTTGCCTATCGGTTTCGCCGCAGGTCCCCCTCCCCCTCTCCGCGGACCCCTCGCCTACCGGTTAGGTTAGCGGGTCCCTCGCCTATCGGTTAGGACGCGATTCCCCCGCGTGACGTCATACCCTCCGCGCCGGTTTCCCCTCGCCCCTCACCCCCCCCCCTAAAAAAACCTGGGTTAGAACCCTCATTGCTATACTATTTACGTTGGTCAGTGGGCAATATTCGACAACGCGATCGTGCAAATGGAGGGGATACTTGCTGATTTAGGTAATTTTACAAACTACGTTGGTCAATGGGTAATATCAACGCGATCGTGCAAGATGAGACAATAGGCGGTAGTATTTGCCGGTATATCCTCCTTGCACTCAAACTCTAATCTCACGTCCACGGTGGAATTTTTGACAGACTCGTTTTGTCGCGAGCAATCAATAATCGCGAGAGGACCGAAATGTAAAAATTTTGAAATGTTTAATAGTACATCATCATTATCACATCCGTAATAAGATTGGCGAAAACGAGAGCACATATCGAACAAGAGGGCGAATCTATTTTTATCGAAATCTAAATTCAAATCATCGTAGAGATAAAATTCCGAGTTTAGATAGAGTTTAACGTTGGTCAATTTGCAGTCGTCGAATGTAGTAATATCTTTTGACACAGCATTTTTTCTGCCAGTCTGCAGCGCAAAGATCACGTATCGCGGCTTCTCCAGCTGAGAAGCAGCTTTCACGGTCCACGAATGCTTGGTCGTATTATGCAATAGAGGAAATTCGTATAGATCCCAAGAGCGAAAACTCATATTCAAGTATCGCCCGCTTTCCAACGCGCGTAGCAAGGATAGTTTATTGACCTCGCTCAATATTACATGAGACATACGCCATTGTATCTTGAATAATTCGATATCACGTAGCAAGGATAGTTTATTGATCTCGCTCAATATTACATGAGGCATACGCCATTGTACCTTGAATAATTCGATATGAGCTTCAGCCGAAGCAAGTCCAAATATGCAATTGTTGTCGTTGCACAAACGTATCAGAATTAATTCGTGACGAGCGTTAATCACAACTCGCTTATAATCTTCGCAAAAACCCAGTAGTATGTTTAGCGGCACGCATAAATTGAAGTAAGCTTCAGCAGCATTATGCAATATATTCCACGCAGCATTCTCCATGATTTTACTCCTTTCGGCTGTTAGAGAGACATAGTTTTTAATCGTGGAAGTTATCTACGTTTATCCAACGTTATAAAACGCTTCTGTTGCGATCAATCTCCACACCGTCGAGTTCATATCGAAGTTCATCAAACATAAACGCGACACAATTGTTTCCCAATACCACTTTTGCCCCTTCATCTACTTTACGCACCCTCAACTTTCCCTCGACGTATAGAAAACTTTCACATGGTAACGTGTACAAATCTTGATGTTGTATCGGTATCCGTATCTCGTCGCTGTATCCAAGCGTTGTGTTGGCGTATGGATTGTACGTATGAGTCTCAATCTTGACGATACGATCGTCAAAGATCGGCTCGCCTCCGATATTCAAGATGTCAATCATATTGTTCAAGTATTTCGTACGACGAATCCTAATGATTTTAAAAACTCGCGATTCAACGCGCTGAGCTTCTTTTTAGCGTAACCAGATATTTGATTATTGTCATCCGAGACCGCAGTCACTCGCTTTCTCGCAAAAATATTGTCTCTCGTAAAGATATTGTCTTCTTCGTGCTCCGTGCTTTCGTTCAACACAAGCATTTCATTTGTCAAACGCTTTATTTTTGCCGCCGCCGTATATGCAATCTTACGGTAATTTCCTCTCCTCGAAAATCGAGCAAATGTCCTTCTTGATCAACAATGCGTATCGTTAAATCAGTAATGCTCCGTGCGACGATTGGTAGATAAATGATCTGGGCGTTTCCGATATATTATATTCTGGCGGAACGCTAGGTAAAAATTCATGTATCGTGTGTACGCGCTTGTCATTGCTGTACGCGCCAGTGGTTACACTGAATTCTATACGAATAATATTTACGCTAATAATATTTATCGGTACATCCGATTCGTGCCATTTCCGAGGCTGTAATATACGATTCGATGAAAATCCTAACAACGATCCAACGTTGTGTGGTTTACTAAAATTTATTCTATGGACACATTTGATTTCACTCTTTAGCGTATTATAATTAGCGCGAAGCATTATTGGATATTCATCGTGTTCTTCGTCATCAACAATATCGTCGGAATCAACTACGCGTGGATGTCGTAAAATTGCACTTTGGAGATATTCGTTCATTGCGTGTAATTCGTACGATCCCTCGGGAATCGTAATTTCCTTATCGTCGTTATCAAAATAAAATTTATTATTCCAAAAATTCACGTTCGATATTGTATGACAAGTTTCAAAGTTTGTTAAACCAAGCTCGTAATCGCCATCGTTTAAATCTATAGCCGGAAAGTAGCTACACGATCTCCTCTCTTTGCATACGCAACCCCATATGTACCGGAACCATCGACATCATCCAAATTGACGATTTTTATCGTTATTTTGACGTTATTTTTTTTCTTAGCCGCTGTTGAGAACCCTCGTCCACGCTTGTATGGAGCGAGATAAAGTCCGTGACCTTCCATGGCGCGATTATGTCGTTGCATTTCTCCGAGCTGACGTTGCGCCGCCTTGCTATCGTTCACCGCCTTCGCAATTCCCGTTGCTCCACCAGCCAATAAACCGAAAACTCCCAATAATGGTAAAATGGGTAAGAAACCACCGCGCTTCGCTATAGGAAGTATTCGTTTTTTCGCAGTCTTTTTCTTCATCGATGATTTTTTTGTTTTCATCCCCATACCGAATTTTGTCTTTGCTTTCTTAGCCGTCCAAACAGCTGTAGCGGCTGCTCTTTCGCCAAGAGTCGAATCTCTCGCGGTAATACGTGTTCGCGCTTTCGTGGCAAGTATATTATCCGCGAAAAAAAGTGCGTTTATCGCACGATTTAACAAACCACCACCTCTTATAATTTTTGCTGGCATTTGCCACCATTTTTTATTAACGGTGTTGGACCGTTGAAATGTGTTTGCTGCCACGACAAATTATAATGTCGCGTGCATTGGCGATACTGTTGAACCTCTGAGTCAGCTTTTATATGTTCGGGAAGCTTGTCCCACAATTGTTCCACGTAGCTACCAAAGTCTCGCAGTAAAACAATCTTGGTGATAATCTGTAACTGCTCGGTAGTAAGCTCACAAATTTTGACAATAAAACACGAATAATGTCCAGTAATCTAGTATTAAGTAACAAGGGATACAAGTATAAAGATATAATAGCGTCATTTCTCTATTAAAAATATAATAGCGCCTGGAAAAAAAGCTGGAAGAGGTATAAACATACCGCGCGCTATGACGTTAAACGATAATAAGATCGATTACGTGCATTGGAATGATCCCAACGAGTTGGTAGAATGCTTGCGATTGCTGGAAGCTTCGCGTCAAGCCGACAACAATGCCCACGACAATGAAATATTATCAATTATCGAGGAACTTTACGAAGCTGGCCTTATTATAAATTAATCTATGCGTCGGCGAAACGAGTCAGTCTGTCATTATTGTTTGTATCGAAATATCGATTAATAAATTTGGATTATCGTTGGGAACACCGAACAATTCATACTATCAATGGAATGGATTACTAAGAAATTACGTGCGCGATAACGCGCTGTGTCTAAGCTCTTCCGTCGAGTACGACGCGAGAGAGCGCAAGATAAAACGCCTGGCTCAGCCGGAGGAGGACGCCGACGCGACGAGCAAAAGCTACGTTGAAGGAATCACGTCGCAATTGAGAAAAGACGCGGACGAGGCGGGGCAGGGCGTCATTCTACTGTTCACGAGACTCACCCAACTCGATAACGCTCTGGGTAAACAAATAGACGCCGCGGAGAGTTTTGTTTCCAGGACCGAAGCGCGCGACGACGTTCTGAGTAAACGGATAGACGCCGTGAAAAATTCCGTTTCGAGAACAGAAGCGAACGCTAACGCTCTAGGTAAACGGACCAATGCTCTGGATAAACGGATCAACGCTTTAAGCGAACGGATCGATGCCGCAAAAAGTACGATATCGCTCAACACGGTGGAGTCTTCGACGAGAAGCGCAAACGACCGTAAAATACTGTTCAATCAGGGTAAAATAATACAGGAACTAACCCAAAAATCGCGCGTCGCGGCGAAAATACGAGAATTGGAAAATTCAACATCGCGATTGAAAAGAGACGCGGACGAGCTATCGGGGAAAGTGAGGGAACTGGCAAAGATTCGCGAGAGCGGCGACGACGCTCGGAGCGGCGAGCCGCTCGAGAGAGAGATCCCGCCCAACGTCATCCTTGAGAGAAAGAGGAAAGAATTATGAGCACCAAAAAACGAAGACTAGTCGAGGAGTTGCACGCGCTCGCGAGAAGAAACTTTCCGCGTCATCGCGTCGCGGTACGCGGGTACGACGACCTGTGGCAGGCGGATGTGGTCGAGATGCGTACTTACGCGAGACTCAACAAAGGCCACAACTGCATACTCACCGTTATCGACGCATTAAGCAAATACGCGTGGGCTGTACCGCTTAAGAGCAAGACCGCGAACGAGGTTACCCAAGCGTTATCCGAGATAGTGCGAGACTCTAAGCGGTGTCCGAAAAATCTGCAGACCGACAAAGGAAAGGAATTCTACAACGCCGAGGTGCGAAAATTCGCGGAAAAGCGCGAAGTGAATCATTACTCGACGTACTCGGTGATGAAGGCGTCGATTGTCGAACGATTCAATCGTACGCTCAAAAATTCTATGTGGAAGTATCTACTTCACACTGAGCGGAACGTACAAGTGAATCGACGAATAAAAAAAAACATCGCACTATAGATATGAGACCCGTCGACGTGACTCCAGCGATCGCCGATAAACTCTTAAATACGGTGTACAGCAATATAAAAATCGCGGCTCCGGCGAGATTCAAAGTAGCCGATTCGGTACGCGTCAGCAAGTTTAAGACGATCTTCGAGAAAGGCTTCACACCTAACTGGACCACTAAGATTTTTCAAACAACCAAGATACAACGGACTAATCCCGTAACGTATTTGCTGAAGGATTCGCGCGGCGAACCGATCGCCGGAGGATTCTACGAGCATGAGTTGCTGCGCGTCGACGATCCGGACGTGTATCTCGTGGAGAAGGTGCTGCGTCGAAGGGGCAACGAGGTTTATGTGAAATGGCTGGGAATGGACAAGTCGCACATTCCTTGGATAAATAAAACGGCTGTATTATGATAAAAATGTATTTTTATTAAATAAAACTACATATATTAAATAAAATTATTTGTTAGAAAAATAAAAATTATCACGGATTTTTCGCGTTCCATACGGATTCTCTCTCGCGCTCCATACAGATTCTTTCTCGCGCCGCTACGCGGCCGCCACATCCTGCGTTTTCTCTTTCGCGCTTTATACGGACTTTTTCTCACGCTCTATATAAATTCTTTTATCACACCGCTACATCATATCTCGCGTTAACCTTTTTTCGCGTTGCTCGATATAAAATGCTTCCGAGAGCATAATAAAGAGACCATGGAAATTTCCAGTCAGTCCTATTTCTAACAAATCTTGATGCAGATTTGGCAAGCTATTCTAGCCCGAGATTTGCAAATAAATCTTGAGCGAGAATGAAAAGTTATAAGCTAGAATAACTTTCCAATCTCGCTAAGATTTATTTGCTATTCTACAAATTTTTGGCTAGAATAGCTTGCTAAAACTGGCTCAAGATTTGTTAGAAATAGGACTGATTGGAAGTTTCCACGATTTTTTATAATGTAAAAATACTCGAAAAGACTCGCGCGTCTCTTCGCGAGTATTTCGTACCTTCGCGTATCCCGTCTTTGTTATTTTTCTCTTTCGGAGTATTTTATTAAAGTAAATATTGTTTATAAAATATGCTATATTGTTTATAAAAAGTCGATATCGACTCAGCCCCCCCACCAAAAGTATTAAATTCCTGCGCAGTGCAACGAGCTCAAAATTTTTAATTTGCGGGATATGGAAGCTCATAAATAGCTCATAATTGTGCGCTATTTGTTTTTTTATTTTTGCAAGGTGGGGAGGCTAGCTCGATAGGAGTCGCTATTTTTCCCCGTTATAAAAGGGTGCCGCGGC